CGTACGAACGATGCATTGATATATGCGGACCAGCGGCGCACAATATTAGCGCCTAGGGGCACTCCTCACCGTACCAACGGCGGGCGATTGTTAAGGAATCCGTACGAGCGGCGCGCCATTGCCGTACCAGCGGCGGACGCGTGTTCCACCCATACGGTGATGGCGCGCCGCTCATACGCTCTTGTGCACTTGCTCAATTGGATACTTGAAGCACGAAAAACGATGAAAAGGAAGAATTTATAAAAACGCCGAAGGCTCAAAATAGATAAAACATGATGATACCAAACATACCTCTGTTCCCAAAGGAGCGAGATCAACAAGTTTATCATGGAGCAATTTGTGATAGATCGGGTGAAATTGGATCAAAGCTCCTCCAACACCGATTTTAACTCGTGACACATCCAGATGACGAAGTAGGGCACTTATGGCTGCAAATATCATCGTGAAACACCAGTGAGCAAGAACAAAAAGATAACTATATTAGACACATACAAGCTCACTTTCAACTAGAAAATAATGTAAAAAAGTGAGAAAACAAACCAGCGGCAACAATGGCAGCGCTACGATCGGAGACTGCGTAACAAACATCACGAATAATGTGGTAATCACCGGATCCATGCATTGGCACATCCAACTCATCGCAGATACGGCGGCAACTTTTGTAACTATCCTCCTCCTCGCTAAAATTCGCAGAAAAATAGCAAAATCAAAGTATGAAGTAGACACAAAATCAGTAAGATTTAGAGGCTAGACAGTAACTTAGATCAACTCACGCCAGTATCTCGCTGATGTATTTGGTAGGGAACGCATCCGGTTCATCAAGTTTTTCACAGGGTTGACCATCGAACAGCACTCTATCCAAAACCAACTGCGATAAAATCCGACGCACCAACTCACCCAGATACAGTGCACCCGTTAGTTTGTCAATACTATAAACAGACAAATTAGCCGCATTAAATGTATCCCATAAAATGACCAAATTTTTATTTCATATAAAAACAGACTTTTTTCAATGAGTTATAGCAATAATGCAGATAAAAAAGAAGTATGCACATCTCAAACGTACATTTGCTTTCCCTGATGAACAGACGCCGCATCTATTTCCTTGTCAAACTGCGTAAGGATAGAATCCAATTCACCCTAAACGCTAATTTTCAAAATAATCCTACGAAAATCCTCAAAACAATGAACAAGTCTTTGCGCTATTGTAGCTGTATTTTTTTTCCAGACGCTTTTTATCGACTAAATAAAAATGGGATGAAATCACCAAAAAATCAGCAACAAGTGATTTACGCGTTTGGAATTGCATTTCACGATACTTAGATCTAAAGCAATAAGTTCGTTCGGAGCAATCGCCGTAGATCCCCTGACAGCATATTCGATATTTATTCATACAGATGCATATCCAATGCAAAGAGCTCATTGAGCATGCTACAATGATTGAGGCTATAAAAGAAAAACTCCGTCCTGAAAGACGCACGTTTGAGAAGACAAAATGCATAACCTTGTCCTCGACAATGAGGTTTTCTATTCGCGATAAGTGGTAAGATACCCGTTGGGAAAGCAGGGCTGAAATTGAAAAAA